TTTTTTTTTCATCAAAATGCTGTCAAACCCATGTTTTCATTGTGCCTGGCTTTCAAGCACGAAAACCCGTGTTTTCAGAAACAGGATTCCTTCGCTTCTATTCCTGTGGAAGCCTCTATGGAAAAACAAAGCAATGAGGACGCAGAAGTGTCTGTTGCGGCCGTTAGTAGTTGTCTACTTGGGTCTCTTATTCTAACAATTTCCCCATGTCTACTGCGTCACGCAATTTAGGAGCAACAACCGGAAACAGACTCTCGAGAAAATCAGGCTGATGTGACCTTCGAAGAGCACCAGTCAGAGCTAGATTCTCAGCAGTCCCAGTCCGGAAAAGAAACCATGGAAACTGTGGTAGATCAGCCTGAAACAGAAACCATCGAAACTGTGGCAGATCACGACGATCGAGTTAAGGAGAAGGTGCGATCTGAATTAGATACTGCTGTAGATGAATGTATTCAACTTTTTTCAGACTTTTACTTCTACCGACCTGAAACCGGAAACTGAGAAGGTAGAGGTAGAAATGCAGGATGAAGACACTTCCTCTGTAGGACTCGAAGGAGCTGAGACCACTACAAGCGGCTCCGTTGAAGATATTCAAGCGACGAGTTGCATTTCGCAAGGAACTCAAGATATCATCAAGGAAGAACATAGGACAAGTTATACAATCCAAGGAAGAAATGGCGGTGAAGTCTTCAAAGAGCATGTTGTGGTCACTGTTGAGTCCACCGAAGTTATTTCGCATGAGGAACGTGAGATGGAAACCACCAAAGAGGTGAGATTTTCAAACCTCATTCTTCACTTAAAATACTTTCTAGAAAATGAAATTATCATATCTATGTTTATGTCATAGTCACATAGAATGTGTTTTCAATTTGGAAAGTCGTTTCTGTGTTGACTATCACTGTTAAGTCTGGAGAACAGCGAGAAGAGAAAATGGACACTTCGGAAAAGCAGGAAGAAGAAGAAGCAACACCTCCAAACACACCAGAAGCTGCTGAGCCTAGGACACCCAGAACTCGAGGGCGCACTGCGAAAGCCCAACCCACAACCATTGAGGCTCCGAAGGTAAGGTAGTCCAGTTTTAAGGCGAAAACTGATCGTTGCTGGAATCCATAAGGAATCCATAATTATCGCTAAACGCACGTTACCAAAATAAACAAAGTCTGTTCAAGCGTCAGGAACAGAAGAGATCATCAGGATCGGAAATGTTATGCTTTATTATTGCCAAGTAGACAAACAGGTTTTACAGGTTATGCCAGCTAGAGATTAGCGGGCATACTACGGATGTAGTTCTAGTCAGATATTCTTCGAGCAGATGTGAAAAAGCAATTTAATAGAAGAGCATTACAGTGAAATACCATGTTGTTTCTGAGCTTTCAAATCCCAGCAAAAACTTACAACCGGATGCTCCCTCAAGACCTCTTCCAAGACACTTCACTCCCACAACTTTTATTTGTTGGTGTTTGTCTACTACAAGCGAAATTTCGCATTCATAGCAAGGTTCGGTATGCCGGGCGTTAGTTTTGGTTATTAGTCATTGATGCGCAGAACTGGTTGTTATTCTCTTATGCGCAGGAACGTGTTTATGTCGTCTCGTAGAACACAATGGAAGGAAACGTCTCAGTGCAAGCCAGGAAGTAGAAACGAAATTAATGTCTAGTGCAACAAAGAAAATACGGCAACTTTTGAGGTGATTAAAAGTGCGCACTGACAAGAGTAAATGAAAGCGGCGATGGTGCTCCCCGCAACCATATTTCTTGAGAACATGAGCCTGCATAGTTCCGAGATGTTGCGAATTATAGTTATGAGAAGAAAACCGGTTAAAAAGGGGATTAGCTAGAAACCTCAGCAGACTTCAGACGTTTTGCGGAATACGGTATCACGGACTTTGTGGTTTGCACACCATTGGCTCTGCAGTGTTGAGGTTTTTCTCGTTGGTTTCAAAGCAATGTACCGTATGCGAAACTTCAAACGTTGCGTGTTGCTTGTTAGGGCGCGCTTTATTGGTTCAATATCTACATTCCCAATCAACGAGAACTTGCTTGCTCGTAGCAATGCCTCGAAAATCTGCCCGCTTACGCGAAAAGAACATCAGTGCTGAACTTAAACAGAAAGAGGAAGTCTTGGTGAGCGTCAATATTATTCTGAAGTAGGTCAAACGCTTTTATTCCATTTTTTTGACATGTCTCAATGGCCTCTGAGATCATGTGATGTGCGTCCCCAAGAGCTATTGCGTATGCCTATATTTAAATATTTATCTATTTATTGTCAATGCATGTAAGTAGAACTGATAATTGTCATAGAGGTGTGACTAATTCTAGACAGCTCCTACTACTGGAAAACGTGGTCGTAAGCGTAAAGTAGTTGAAGAAGATGGAGCTGCAACACCTGCAAAAACTCCCAGAACTCCGGGAAGAGGTAATATTGGCGAATTTGCTAGACAGTATTCCTTTTTGATTCGTTTGTGCTATCCACTTCGGCAGATTCATTTGACCATTTTAACAAAGCTGTTTAGGTCGTGTTGCTCATGCCAAAGTGAAGCTTTCATACACTGATTACGTTTCAAATGTAATCGGAGATAGAGTATTGTCTTGTGGAGAAGGTGAACAACTTGGTCATCCTGGTCGCACAACCACAAAGAAGCCTCGAAAGGTGGACTTAGTGGAGGACGAGGGACTTCAAGTAGTTCAGGTTTGTAAGTTGAACAGTTGTCTTTGTGCGATTCCGTTAATTTTCTCTATAGGTTGTGGCTGGAGGTGTGCATTCTGCTTTGCTGACTGCAGATGGTGAAGTTTATATGTGTGGAATAAATGAACAGGGAACGGTTCCTGCCATAGGTTTGAGATTTTTCTCAGTTCTCATTAACATTTGGCAATATGTTTTACCCTTCTGTAACTTTTTAGGAGTCGAACCAGAAGGTAGTACTGATAAGTTCACTAAAGTTGAGTTATCTGAAGAAATTGCTTCCCAAGGAAAGGTATGTATACTCGGAATGCTATGACGCAGGTACTCAAAAACAGAGGGAATGCTGCTGAAATGTTGCCATTGTAGATTGTCATGCTGGCAGCTGGCGCAAGCTTCACAGCAGCTCTCACTGACAAGGGATCTGTAATTGCTTGGGGAAACTTGAGAGTGAGTCAACGATACGTGGTTTAATTTTTTTTACAAAATGTGATCTCATGATGTAGGATACCAGCGGTGAAATCAATGTACATCCACTCCTGACCAAGATGAAGGAACATCCTGTTGTATTAATACATTATAAGAAAAGGGTGATAGTCAAGGTGAGCTTATTGCTATGCTTATCTCCTCCTCGTCTGCTCGAATAATTCTTGCAGATTGCTGCTGGAGAAAACCATCTTGTTATGTTAGAAGAGGACGGCAAAGTTCTAACTTTTGGTGATGGTAAGATGGGCCAATTGGGAAGAAGCAAGAGGACGGGATCAATAAGGCCTCGTATGTATTGTTTAGTCTGCTGTCTGTCTGGTGCAGGAATACCACTTCGTTTTTGCCACTTCCCATATTTTTCTTATTTAGAATACATGGTTGATGAAGATGGAAGGTCCTTGATATTGATACTGCAAGACAAGAAAAGGAAGGATATTCCTATAAAGGCAGGTTCCCTTGCGCATCGAAGAGAATAGAGTTCGTAAGAATTGCTTTTGTAGGACATTCATGCCGGAGGCTTCTGGACTATGCTTGTCTCTGATGACCAAGTTTTCTCTTTCGGTCTGAACAATTTTGAACATCTAGGAATCCCTATCGAAGGAGAGGCACCTTCAGAACGTGAGTGAGCGCATATGAAGCATGAAATTCCCGCTTCACTTCCGAATGTGATATGGCACTTTTCTCTGTGGTAGAGTAGCATAAGATTTTTCTCATTAATCAACCTTTGCAGCTTCCGAGGAGGACAAACGGGAACTCCGTATTCTCACGCCCTGTGTTGCCAGAGCGTATTTGGGTAGATCATGGACGCATATTGATGGTGTGCAACATATAATAGCTCGAGATGAGCGAGGTAGGATTATTGAAAAAATTCGTTCCTACTACATTACGTAATTTTATTTGCCAATATCCTCTTTTCCTTTGCTCACGTTTTCAGCCTTGGCATAGTACGATGAATCTTGAGAATCAGTTTGTAGAGATTTCGTTTTGGTCTATCGCTCTTTTGATAATTCGGTTCCGGTTAAAACGTAACTGAAGAATATTCATTGCATGGTATCCATTGGTTGGGCCTGAGCGTGTAAAGAATTGACAAAAGAAAAACGAGTAGCAAGTCACAGCTCATTGAATTCGTTCCTGTCCATAAGTTATCTCTTGCTGGGACGACTGCAGAAATCTATTCTTTTATCATACTTCTGTAGCATTGTACGTGCTAATTTGAGAAACAGACAAATCTCGATAATTCGATATGCACCTATTTACAGTGAAGGCGCTTTCATAGTGAATAGATGCATGTCAAAATAGAGACTTGCTTAAATGAATGTAAATAGATTAATTTACAGTGAAAGCGCTCTCATCTCAATGGAAAGCGTGGGTCGAGTTGTAAAATCCATGGCTCACTGAAAAAATAGGAGCAAATGACTTTGTATTTGAGCTAAGTAGAAGATCATTTTCAGGAGAAGTATACGGAATTGGGAAAAACACGGATAACGCTCTTGGTCTGGGTACCTGGACTGGAAATGATGACTCAGAACATTGGAAGTAGGTGGAAAGAAGTTTGCCATCTCAGTAGTGAGAACAGTTGCATATGTGTTTTAAATGGTTTTGTATCTCAGCCATGAAAGAAACCATCATTCAGGTATTCCACATTGGAGCGTATTCCATTCCCACGAGAAGCTGGAGAAATTGCTGGAACGACTGCCAAGTTGGGTTGTTCAGTGGCATGGACGAAAAACGGTGATGCGTATGCGTGGGGTTGTGATACGAGCGGTCAACTTGGCTTAGGATTGAAGGATGACGATGAGAAGGTCCGCTATTGGAAAGGTGTTCTCTAATGTATACTTATGATTGGTGTTTTCAGATCGTTCCAACACCAAGAAAAATTACGTCCGCACATTTGGATGGATACAAAATCATCTGCGCCTCGATTTCAGACAATCATTGTTTATTCTTGGCCAAAAAAGGATGAATTTGCCGAATTTTCTGAGTTGACGCGTGCAATAATCATTTTCTCTAGTAAATATCTTCGCACAACTCGTTATATATTGTATTTAAACTTACATTTATGCTGCCATGTTTGAATTGTGTTTGTACATTCTTATGGTCCTATCGTTAGTATTACCTCAGTATAACAATCAGATATGCATCCCGGCGCATGTTGTTAGTGTTTCGTTTTGAACTTTGATGTAAGTCTTGTTGGAGAATCATTCTCAGTGTTTGGTTGTCTTACCTCATTTACTGAAAAGTTTAAATACCGTTTCCTTTTCGTCTGTTGTCTTTTTTGTTCAACTTGATATTGTAACTTGCTGTAAAACTCAAGTCTGACAGTTACTATTATTAAACCAACAGTTGAAAGTGATACGATGTGAGATACTCTTCGAATGACGACATTAAAGTGAGTACATTACAGTGAGACATTCTTCTACTCCAATTTCTAAGTACTTTTCAGATGGAATCTCTTGAAAACATGTATTTGTTTGATAAAATTGGAATGTATTGCCTAAGTATGGTGATTGTAGTCCCCTATTTGATGTGGAACATCAGCAGGAGCACTTCGCAGTGATCCACCATTGAATTACTTTCCGAAAAAAGGTCTTATGGATCTGCTTGGTAATGGTGCTACGTGGTTTTGTCGTCTCAAGTCATGGTTTCGTTAAGTATGTTTTGGCTTCGATAGTTGACGAATTCAATTGGACCCGGTTCCGACTACTTACTTTGAAGAGAATTGGCAAGAAAGCGGGGGACTAGAAGGTTCCCTGTGAACATTTTGAAGTCAACTGGTATCTATCCGCTTTTTGGCAATGTGCAAGGTATCCTGTGCAAGGAAATTTCGGCTAAGAATAATTCTATTCGGTGTCATCGTTGAACTGTCATAAAATATCTAGGGAACAAAGCAGTCTTATGAAGATCACGGAAGTAGTGATAGGATATGAAAATGGATCGGCGAGCGTTCCGTGTCGTTAGTTTTTGACGGGCCAACTGTGACCTGTCCCAACGGCTACATTATAAGGGCCCCTAAAAATCAAAGTGAGCTTGTTCGAGTTGTGATCTGAAGTTCCAGCCAAGCGTCAGCAACAGATAGGGTCAGATGTTTCCGTTCATTGAGAATCCGTGGGAGCCTGTATCCGGCTAGGAAGTACTGTACAACTTTCTCCTTCGAAATTCAAGAATCTCGTTTGCTGCTCGAGGATTTTCTGTGATTACATTGGGATCAATTTAGAAATTAGTTCCCTAAGCGGTTAGCTGGGAGAATAATTCACTCAGTCCCTACAGCTGGGAATTGATGAGTGTGTGTAATGATACTGTCTGTAGGCTAACTTTGTCGATTACCGCTTGAGCCTTATCTCAGTGTTTTCACTCCCATTACCCAGTTCTTGGACACGTAAGGAAATGTAACCTAATTTCAAGATTGTGGCCAAACTTTGGACTTTCCGAAATCTGATCTTTTCTTCCCCATCGCTGAAGCTGAACTAGACACTGATGCCAAAAATTGTTAGGATAGATAGTTTACCGTTAAAACTTTAGTCAATGGTATGAATATCGTGTACCGCCTGAAAAAGGAGCCGAATTCACAGGAGTCTATGCAGGGAACGAGTCATCTGGTTAGTTGCGCTCTACGTGTCTATCCGATTGGGCAGGCCTACGGACTACTTGAACTCGGTTCCTTTAAATTTGCCGGATGCGTCATTTTTCTGCCTTCGTCTGGCGCACTCCCGTTTGATGTGATCTTTGAGTGTTGGGCTCGCCTGTCCAATGGGGCCCTCCACCACCACCACCGTGAGCTTCACCCGGGGTGTTTTTCTCTGGGCTCTAGCCTCTTGCCGTCAGGGATGCAGAGAAAGTTCAAGTAGTCACGTAACCGATTGGGCAGCGGCAGACGACAAGCGGATGGGAATCGATGAAATTTTGGAGCTTTTAGCCACCTTCATCTTGAAGAAACCTTAGAGGTTGTAGTGGTTGATGTAGAGGGCTGCCCAAGTTGATTTGAAAAGAACTTGAGCCCAAAGGTTGTTGAGTTCATCAAAACATTTTGTTCAATATTTGGTTCCAAAGCATGATTGTCAATCTCGTATTGGTCTTTGGCCGCGCGCCCGAGCAATGCGGTGGCCCTCACTGCTTGGGGTTGGTGTCTTCGCTCTTGTTTCTCTTCGGTTTATTTGTTCTGTTATGAATCTTCGATGTAAATATTCGATCATCAAGTAGCACAGAAGGCTACTGTGATCATCGTTTAATTTTGTGTTTTTCAGATGAGGGGAGCTGCGCTCGTGCTCGTTGTTGTTGCAGGTATGACTTTGTTTTTGAGGAATGAGTAGGGCTACACAATTTTTGTTTCTTTTCCTCTACAAATAATCAAATAATGCTGACACTGGGTGCACCTTTATTCGTTAGCTATGATTCTTTGCCGTATTGATCCCGTGTAGTCGCCCATATTTTTCTGAATGGTGTAGTTCGAAGCTCTTGGATTCGATCTTTTTTGAAGAGCTTTCGGCATTTAGCGCCTCTTCCAGACCTGGACATTACAACAGTTGCATATAATCAGTTGCAGCTTATTGAACCTGTATCGCCAACGTAAATCTTAAATTCTTTAGAGTGGATCTATCGGTTAAAAGCTTGACAAAAAACAGAGTGAAGGTTTGCACCCTGATTTCCTTTTGAAAATCCTTTTGGCTGTCTTATTGGCAACTGTATTATTTAGAACTGTTTTCACCGGCCACTTCTGGTTCTAATTTCTGAAAACTAATCTTCAATAGGTTGCACATATGTGCTTCTGGTAACAGAGAAATAACAACACCATCGTATTATGATTTTCAGCTTGTTCGGCCTCGGTGCTTGAGTTCGTGACACTCCCCAACTCACTCAGCATTCCGGCTCCATCGGCAGTTCCTGAATTGCGTCTGAGCAGTTTACCACTCATAAACGAAAATCTTCTTGGTCTCTCCGCGAAGAGTGTGCAAGGTGAAGATTCTCTTTAATTTTTCCCCTAAAAAGTCCTCATACTGTGGTGCTCGTTATGTGATTCGTAGGTTTTTGTCCTTCAGCCTCCATAGCCACGTTTAACCACGTCTAGCCACGAAAAGTTCAATGAATGTTCGGGAGTGAGACTGCATTCGCAAGAAAACATACGGAAACGCACCTAGGGCGAAGGCCTGAGCACCCTATTTCGCATCCTTAGGAAGCCTTTCATCTGGTCCTGCCCGCCATCACGGTCCGGCTGATTAAGTAAGGTGGCAGTCATGGAAGTAGATGAAGAGAGACTGGGTGCTAAGTGATGATCTACGATGACTCCATGGTTACCACACATACACTTCTCCACATGCGAATGTTATCGCGCTTATTCGGGCTTTTGCGCATTACTCTATCAACGAACGCGTTGCGCACGTACGCATGATGTTGTACAAAATAACGGCTAGATAATGCGTTATTAAGCGGGAACGAAGTATTAATTCTACGATATAATAGCGTGCCCTACTATCAGCTGACTTCATTTGATATCTTTTTAACAAGTGCCCTCATTTCTTTAGTATCGTAGTGGTTGCGGCAATTGCTACGTCTACAATGTCGTAGGGTGATGGTAGCCCGAAGAAGTATTCACCTTTGGCTAGCAAAAATAATTGGAAGTTGGGGTTGTTAAGGACAGCGATTTTTAATGGTATGATGTACGTGTACACCTTATTACTCCTCCCAGCAACCTCCATTTGTAAATATTGTCGCTGCATCTGTAAAGGATATAAAATGAGACGACATGCAGAGTTTGAAAGTGGTTCGAGACCTGTGAAATATCTCTTTTACTTGGCTTCCTAATCAGCCTTAAACACATCCTAGATCGATTACGATCAATGGGTGAATTATTGAGGGTTTTCTTTGTTAATTTTTTTTTTCTGGATGCTTCGCTAGTGTACCTAGTGCATTGCGATTTCATTCGTGGGACTTAACTTTAGAAGCGGGCATGGTATTTTATTTTATTTTCTATCAGTACTTCTTCAGGATTCGATGCAAAGAGTGACTTGTTCACGCGTCCGCGAGCGATAGCTGTTGTTCGAGTTGATGGAATTGACTCTTTGAATAGTAAGGATCACACAACATACCAACTCGAGAATGTTAGTTTCCGGCTCATCCTCATAAAATGTGTTCAATGCTGTTAGGCTTGCTGAAGGGTTTTTTCTTGTTGTTAATGTGATGCATTGCAGGACAGATTTGATCCATCAACCCTTGATGAAGAACTGGCAAATTTGTTCGGAGTCGATCGTGAGAGTGTTTCAGTGAACCGCGATGGTATCAGTGGATCAGAAATTGCCAAGGTTGCCACCACGCAAGAGGTCATTATTTGTACCTTCTCTTCTGATTTTTTTCTCTTTGATTGGCCGGCCCCTACGTCTTAGTGGGGGATTTTTTGAATATTCCCCACTATTTTAGAGAGAGTTTCAGATTAAAGACGTGGCAATCAAAACGAAACTGACGGCTCTGCGCCAAGAACTTGAAAATGTTCATCGTTTGGCCGACGCCATCGCCTCTCAAGGGGCCAAGTTTGAGAAGTCGAATGCGGCCGACGTCTACCGTGTGACGATAAGCGGTCTGGCTGGCAAACAACTCAACTCTGAAGATCTTGACATAGCAGTAAAGGATATTCAAAATGCCGTCAACAAGGTAGTTTTTTTTATGATGGATTATTTTTGGAAATTCGTAGGTTGAGCTGAGTAAGGAAGGTTTTATAATGGCTAATATGTCATGATCGTGTCTGGAAATTGCAGATTACATTAAGCAACCTGTTGTTTGTTTCAGCTTGCACAAGCCTTGGCAACTGCCTATGGCGATCAGGCTATTGTGGAAGTTGTTGCTATTTCCGAAACAGTGAAGCCATTGGATCATCATCAGGAGCCGGTATTGATAAGAAGAAAGAGGGTAGGAAATTTTATCACCTTAGTAGGGATCTGAATGCTCTCTTCATCAACACTTCTACGTATACAGGCTGCCGACATGACAGACACGGACAAAAATCTGAAGACATGGCGTGAGCAACTGAATGTTTACGTCTTCACTTCCACTGATTATCCTGCCATATTTGCTATTTTCGCTGGACTAGTCATAGCCTTAGTACTGGTGAGTTGGACACAAGCATGCCCACTCCTTAATCAAACCACTTGTGGCGGTTTCCACTTGAGCATATCATGCTCATGCTTTCATTACTGTTTAATCTTGTTGTATGGTCTAATTCTAGGCTGTTCTGTATACTGCTGTTGGAATGATGAGCATGGACCCAAGCAAAGATTCAATCATCTATCGGATGACAACGACTCGAATGAAGAAGGCTTGATAAGATTTAGGCTGTCCCTGGTTAAAACGTTTCGAATTTAAGTAAATCCTCGTACTCTGTTGTATGTTTTTTGCGCAAATATATGTATATGAATAAATTCTTCACTAGGTTGGCACTATCTTCTGACTCTTTTTTTGCATTGCATCAGTAAGACCACTGGGAGTTTTTCGAAGTTTGCTGAGCGCAGTAGGATGTGAATTTGTTGGATCGCTACTCAGAATAAAGGATAAAAGAGTTTTTTGGCGTTAATCAATCCCGTCTGAGGGTACGCCCCCGCACTCGACTTCAATTCAGAATCGTGGCGTAATGAGTGCGTATGTGGCCCATACAATGACTTGCGGTGGCCAGCTGATGTACAAGTCAGTGCTTTTATCCTCCCATACGAGTCTGNGGCGGGTATCGATCCGGTAATCGGACCCTTGACCGTGCCTGTGATATAGTGCGCCACTTGCCACTACACCACCTCCGCTCACCAAAATACTCTGAAGAATACTTGTACAGGGTGCGCCATAAATATGGACACAAGTTTTCGAACGTCCGAAATTTTCTTTTTCGGAGGGTTTCTCCAAATCTGCACCTTCCGTTTTGTTTACGATATACCTTAGACTGCATATTTACTTTGTTGCCCTCAATTCGTCAGGTTTCGAAAAACGGTGGAGCCTCGCAGACATCCACCGACCGTTCCGTTTTTGCGCACATTTGGTGAGTCCCTTTCGGGGATCCCTCGTTTCAACATTTTCCCCACTGGCAGTCTCTTGAATCGCGATGCGTAGATAGGTCGGGGCAAACTCAAGACGGTCGTCTTGCCTCACCCTTTTCCGTGTACTGTACTTGGGAAGGAGTACGCAGCAAAACTGCTGATTTGTTTGTATGTTCTACTTCGACTAGCAGAGTCTACCTCTAGAAAACACACTTGTATCCGGATAAGATTCGGAAGCTCTATAAGCTTCTTGACGAGAAGAAGTTGGAGAGAAAAAACAAATGCCGTGCGCTACTTGCGCGGGGCACGCGCTTCGACAAACCTTTTTCTGACTAAAGGGTGTTCAGCGTGGAAGAATTGTTGAAACCCCAAAGTATAATATGTTTCACATTTCGAGTGTTGAGGCCGCTAAGAAGAGTCAGATAACCTCTCATAGCCATTTTCCCTCTTTTTTGATAGTTTTTGCTAGAATCTCTACCATCAGAGCGATATCGCAAATTTTGGTCGGAAAAAGTACAAAATTCAATCCAAAACTCTCCAGGAAGGGTCTTTCTGAAAGGATGCAGCTGAGGAACAAAAAATTTCTGAGGGGTACGTTTTGAAATCTACAGTGCACCTGCTCATGAATGGGAAAGGGTAAGGCTGGTGCTGAGTGAATGTTCGCGACTTTATCCCAGCTTCCAAACCTCCTACGAATTTCCCGGATCACAATGTAATGGGTCGCTGGATATAGTTCATGCTAGAGAGGGAAGCCTGTGTTTCTTAACGCAAAACTGTTGCTGTACCTAAGGAACCACTGAAAAAATCCCAGAGTGGAGTTCCTCAGAAAACTCTGCGTGCCGCAGTCGATGAGTGGCTGAGGCATCTTTGAGCTATAATTAGTAGAGGAGACGATTATATAAGACGCCTGTGTGTTTTTGTAGACGTGATGCATAGTAAATAACTCACATGAATTCACCACGTATCAATATGAACTGCGGTTTTTGTGGCCCACCTAATTTGTTACCATATTTATGGCGCACCCTGTACATATGTGCAAATATTTTTCAAGCGCATTATTGTAATATCAATCCCATGGTTGACTCACCCGCACTCTCCCAAGGCTAAAAGCTGTGATCCAAGAAAACAGGAGCTATTGATTTAGGTGAAACACACATAGGCATTCTTCGTGCGCGCCCTGCTCGTCATGACCGGAGTTCTGATTAAATTTTGTGTGGTCCAGGGTGGTTCATTCCCTCTTATCCAACTTGACTGCGTGTTTTCACTTAGATTACACTCATTTTGTTCATGGTCCGTCTGTCCCCTACATCCTCCCAACACATCTGTGGACTGGACCCAGTTCAGTCACATTTTCCAATACCTACCGTCGAAGTCTTGGATCTGCCGCCTGCACACGTTTTAAGTTGGAACGCCCCAGTCTCAAAATTAACAACCTTCGCGCACGTCCCGCCTCCTGTATGCGGCTTTATTCTCAGCAAATTTGAATGCCCTACGTCCAAACTGCCTGTTTTAGCGCACTCTGTCGCGAACGGAATGGGTCCGAGAGAGCGCTGATGTTTCGCCCAGCCACTGCCTTCTCCCCTTTCGTTCCTGCGAGCATACTACTTCTGCCTCCCTGTGCGTGCGAGTATATGTGCATATATAAATGTCCATGAATAAACTACTAGCTATTGTTGATATGAGAAATGGTAGAAAACACGATGTAAAAGCACTGGCCCGTTCTCACGGCTATTGCTACAAAACACGTACATAAAGGTTATTACGTTTATCTTCATACGACAGTAAATGCGAGTTACGCCTATGGATCAAGCTCCTACCTCATTAAGGGTCGTCAGCACTCTCTGTCCTCGGGGAAGGAGAGTGATGCGGCCCGCAGACGTGTGTCATGCGCGGACCGCTCCTCTCCGCGGCCCCGAGTTCCTTCGCTGACCTGAGGCTGCATGGTGCTCCCTATGCTGCCGAGCTGCTGATGACCTCAGCCGTCCGGCGACGGCTGGCAGCTCTTTACTCTTCATCCTCCTGCTCGCACCCTGGAGCCTCTTTTATCTCCACTCCTTTGGCAGTGCGATCTCTTGAGTGCTTCCGATCCCTTCTGAGTCGGGGTTACACGATGACGACGGAAATGCGAGAATACGGGACATGAAATAGAAAAGCAACCGCTCGGCGCGTTGACATGACACAGAATGGCAAGGTGTTGAGTGCACACTCGGCGCCACNNNGTGGCAATCGATGGGGACGGCGCAATCAATGGTGACGGTGCTGCGCGTCGAATAGTATGTACGCGGTAAAGTGACAGCCCGGATGTTATGAAGTCGTGGGCTTCACGACACACTCCCCGCCCACGTTGGGCGAGTCTGGCACAGCCACTTATCATTAGTGCTCCCATCCTGCCATTTTCTCTACTACTAAATTTGAAAACTATGGGGCATAAATTTTTCCACAGGCCCAAGTTTTCGCGCAAACATGGCCCGCCGTTGGAGGATTCAATCCTGCCACCACCTGTCGGTATTTCCATACTGACGGCTAGACTCCTACCGAATTTGAAGATTCCAGGTCCAAATCAACATTTTTCACACACCCGCGCCCCGTGAGTGGAGTCTAGTCCTGCCCCATACCATCAGTGATCCCGTCCTGCCACCTGCAATCCTATCAAGCTTGAACGCTTCAGGTCTCGCTTCAGGTCTTGCTTGTGTGTGTCCGACCAGGAATTATGAATTCCTGGTCGGACACACACAAGCAAGCAACACAGACAAACCAACAGACACACTCAGCGCGTTGTATATAGTAGGATCTTAAGTGAATAATTCGCTAAGTAAGTCTTTTGGTGTACTTAGGTGTTTTTGTAGCTTCATGACTCTGTTCCCTATATCGAGAAGGTTCATGTTCAGAGGGAATACAAGCGACGGGATATGAACACCGATGGTAGATGAACTAAGGTGACAACAACTGATAGAGACTGATTAGGACCCTTACAAGGCGAGAGGGGCTATGTACGTTACGTCATCTGTGTTACAGTGGAACACTGCACTATGGTAGGTGATTTCGAGTATGAAGGGATGGTAAGAGATCTTTGACAGGAGCTGGCAGCAATTGACTATATAATGAGTGGTTATAGTGAGCAGTAGAAGGGAAGAGACACTAATCTCTCTCACTTTTGTGGTGAAACCAGAGCGCTTTGGCGAGTGATGTGGGATGGTTCGTAAGGAGGATTGATTAGGATTTCGAAGTTCCGAGCTCATTCAGGGTTTTAGACGCTGTTGCCTACGCCAAGGAATATAAGATCCGTTGGGCTGTATACGCTATACCATATTAAGATGATCGTTGGACCAGCGTTACTGCCTGAATATTTCCGGACGTCAAACGAGCACCAAAACCATGGTCAGCGCGATGGGCAGACTGCTTCACGAAAACACGTGGCGGAAGGAATGCTATGCATCATGTCCCTTGAGCAAGGGCTAGAGTGCAGGATTATTCTGGCTCGTGACGGGGACGAATGGGAGCCTTACTGGCTCCCGTTTGATGAAATCGATAGCCATCTGGAGAGCAGGTGATACAGGTGATGGTATGTTCCAGGCGAGAAGGGTGAAGTGCTGATCCAAAGAAGCTGAAAAATCAGATCAGTATGTAGTACAATGGTTACACTTCCCCGATCAAAGAGGAAGTTCTGGTGAGCGGTTGGTCAATCAACTGCAGCTTTTCTGATGCTCGGTTTCGATCTGGATTTGCAGAACCTCGCTTTTAGCTATTACATTGGCGACTATCGGCTCCTCACTTAATTAGTCACTTGGTGAGCCTTTTGTAAGATCCATTTTGGGGTCACTGAGATTTTCTAGCATTCTTAAATGCTGGACTGAGAATTTCTAGCATTCTTACATGTTGGACTGACATTTTCTAGCATTCTTTCATGTTGGACCAAAAATTAAACCATAAAAAGGAAAAACACAACCTCATCGAAACTGGACGATTTGCAGGATAATGATGTGTTCTCTCGTGCCATAGAGTAAGGTGCTGCTTTTCTCAAACGCAGGGTTCCATCACTGGACCCCCCCCCCCCCCTAATTCATCACCAACCTAGCTATTCTTCGCTAGAGTAACTCTGAAGGCGGGACAAAAAGGGAGCTTTCTCATTCGAGCAGTGTTGTTTCATTGCCTACAAGCTCGAGGAAAGTCATTGTCCCTCAACTGCACTGACATTTAGCTTGAACGTTTCCACATGTACTGCCTACTTCGTCGTCTATCACATCAGTTTTCAATATTATCGTTTCCTCCTTTCCCTGAGATTCTTTGAAGAGATTACACA